AGGTCTGACCCGTCGCCCCCCCAGGGCCTGCTGCCTACGGGCTCCCCCCGATGATGGGGCCCAAAGTCATTGGCAAGAGCTCGGCCCCCAACTACTCCATCCTCGGGCGCAGCCTGATCGGTAGTTTCTGCGAGGACTTGTGCAAAGTGAGCGGTGGCCGCGGGGCCGGGGCGGGCGGGGGGGGGCGGCGTGCCACGCGAGCTCTGCTCCACTGTCCCCTTGCACAGACACCAGGCCCCTGCAACTACCGTGCGGTGGACTCCAACGTGTACAAGACACGGGCCCCCCAGTTCAGCATGCTGGCTCGCAACGTGCTCCCCGGTGACAACACACAGAAGCCCGGGCCGGGCACCTACAGCCCGGAGAAGGTGAGGGGGGAAAGGGGGTCCGCGCACGTGCGGGGCGGGGGGAGACCCCCTGACACAGCGGGTGTGACACAGGGGGGGTGCTCGTTGCCACGTGTGCAAAGGTGATGGGCGGGGGGTACAAAGGAGAAGCCGGGGCTGCTCCTGGAGGGCGGATCAGAGGTCTCAGGTGTGCGTGTGTAAGATGGGGGAGCGTATGGATGGTGAGGAGAGGAGAGGTCGTGTGGAGTACGTGTGCACACGCGCGTGTGACATGCACAAGCTCATGCAGGACTGCAGCGGAGAGACGGAGCACAAGATCCCAGGCTGCTTGCGTGCCTGGGCGGTGTGTGCGCACGCATGTGAAATGCAGGAGCTTGCGCGGCTTGCTGCGGGGAGCAGGCGTGTGTGGGTGTATAAAACGGGAGCTGTGCCCTGGCACGTGCCCCCCACGCACCTGCACGGTGACACCGCTGCCGCCCCCCCTGTCCCGCAGTACTCCCAGCACCGCGGGCAGACCTTCGGCATCCGCCACTCGGACTACCTGGCTCCTCTCATCGTGGACGTGGCAGATTAACCACGATGCGCCGTGTGGCCTGGCACTGCCGCGGGCGCCCAAGCAGGACGGGCTGGACAACAAGCGGGCATCCGTACGCGTGGGCTCCTGGTGCTTCGTGCCGTCGCGGCGGCTCCTCGCGCCCGGTGCACCCAGGCCCGGGGGCTGCTCTGCCTCCGCCCTGCCCTTCCAGCACGCTCAGCCCGGGGGGTGGACCGGGTCAGCGTGGCTCCGTGGCCTCTCTCGGGGGGGCCCCGACGTCCTGGCTGCTCGTGGGGAGCCCGGGAGGTTGGGCCCGGCAAACGCCGGCTGTGCCGAGCCGGCCCCCCCTCGCCTTTCCTCTCTCTGAAGCCCACGTCTGCCCCGCTTCGGCCACCGCCTCACCCCGTGGCTCGCAGGGACGTGGGGCTGGAAGGGGCCCCCCAGGTCACATCTAGGGTCGGCCACGGCTCTGTCCGCCCCGCGCTGGAAACGGTCCCACTGCTGGACCACCCTCCTCGCCTCCAGCCTCAGTTTCCCCTCCCCTGCAGCCATCTCCATCCTCTCTGTCTTCGCCCTGCAGGGGTTTGAAGGCTAAACCCTGCCCGCGAGCACCCCACTTCGTCCCCCACGGGCTGCCGGGCTCTCCTCCACGCTGCCCCCCACCCCAGCAGTGCAGGGAGCACGAGAGGCCTCAGGAGACAGCCGCGAGGGGAAGCGCCGGGGGTTTTCTCTGCCCCCCTGCGTGTCCCAGACGGGGGTGATGCCGCGGGCGCCGCTCCTCCACCAGCGTGACCCCCCGGGGGGCTCCCCCGCCCTGGGATGAGGGGTCTCCGAGTGGCCCAGCCACTCCTGCAGTGCCACGGGCACCAGCCTTGGTCTGGTTTCTTCTCGCCCACCCTCCCGGCCCCTCGCCGCGGGTCGAGCGTGCCCCTCGCGCGGCACCTCCACTTGGGGAGGGCCCCTGTGAGATGGCAACGCAGGGGTGGGCTCCCCTGTGCTGGGGACAGCTTAACACCCCCCACGCGTGGGCACGCGCACTCGCACACACACACACACACACGCGCTGTTGCTGTGTTTTCTGCTCCCGTCTTGCCCTGCCGTCCCCCCGTGTCCCCTTCGGCACGGCCGCCCCCCAGGACACCGTCCCCGCCGTCCTCACGCGGGGACCCCGCATTTGGCCGCGCCAGGAGTCACGTCGCCGAAAGGAGCCCGGGCAGGAGCCGCTCGGGTCCCTGCGTCCGC